TTATTATTTATTATTTATTATTTATTATTTATTATTTATTATTTATTATTTATTATTTATTATTTATTATTTATTATTTATTATTTATTTTTTAAAGCCATGCTGCCGTGCCTCGCCATAGAATGGGACACACCAGCTTCTGGCCATACAGCGGGTCCCGCTGTATGGCCAGCGCGACAGCATGCACTTTAAAGTGCCGGCGTGCCCTCCGGCCATAAAGCGGGACATGTCGGGACTTCAGGGGTGGACAGGTGCGCCCGCACTTTAAAGTGCATGCCGCCGCGCCGGCCATCCAGTGGGACATGTTGAGGCTTCGGGGGCGGCTGGTGTTGGCAGAGTCAGGGCGGCTTTTGCCTGCTTGCCTCATCGGCCGTGAACCTCACCGCACGTCACTCTCCATGGTCATGTGGTTGGCATGACTAAACCCCGAAGGCACACAGAAGGCTGTTACCTTCCCACCAAAGGTAGTCCCTATTTTTCTACTTGCACTTTTACATGCTTTTGAACTGCTATGCTGGCAGAAGCTGGGACAAGTAACGGGAAATCACTTTGTTATGCGGCACTAGGGATTCGAACCACCGAACTGCTGACCTTTCTGATCGACAAGCTCAGCGTCTTATGCCACCATGTCCCTGATATTATCATATATAAAGGTAATGCCACTGCAGCTTTATTCTAAATATAACATTTAAGAGATGAATACATATTAGGTTAATGTCATATACCCTATCAATTTCTGACTAATAGAGTTAATCAGAGGAAATGGAGAAACAGCTAGGCTTTAATAGGAAAATTGGTACTCAGATACTTTGAGGACAAGCAATGCCGGCAAACTATTCAGCTATAGTTTGCAAAGAAAGACCTTGCTATGTCCATTTTGATGCCACTGTATGCCCATAGAAGGTGTGACTTAGTAGTGGTGCATTTTTAGATTTTGAATGTACTGATTTAGAGGAATTTAAAAAAAAGTAAAGATTGACTTTTGGTGACTTCGTCTATGATTTCTTTTTAAAATATCTTAAATTATCTCAAGATTCCTGGATTATTGGGAAGCATCTTTTTAAGAGGCTGCATACCTTGGAATCAGAATATTTATCTGAACCTTCCTCTCATTGTACCCACTGATGTAATTGTTAAAGTTAAGGAAAACTCAAAGCATCAAAATTCTGATGGTAATTATGCTTTAGTTGATTAATTAAATAGCACTGAGTAAAAGGCATTAATCCATCTGTTTACTGAAAAATAATAGAGCCATATTTTGAATGGAAGTGCAACAGCCTATGGCAGTGATGGCGAATCTTTTGGGCACTGAGTGCCCAAACTGAAACTGTGTGTGCATACGCATACATGCACACGCATCAGAGCACCAGAAACGTGAAGACCAGCTGCTCTTTGGGGTTTCCAGCACGCACATGTGCACCAGCCAGCTCGTCTTTGTAGAGCACCAGAAACCCAAAGACCAGCTGGCCGGCGCGCGCATGCCTGTTTTTTGGGCGTTTTTCAGGCCACTTTCTGGTGCTCCAGCATCCGCCGAAGACCAGTGTGCCGGAAAACAGAAGAGCTGGCAATGTTGTGTGTGCCCACAGAGAAGGCTCTGCATACCACCTCTGGCATGCGTGCCATAGGTTTGCTATCACAGTCCTATGGGTTGTAAGGAAGTTAGTAGATCTTCCACATCTAAAAAGATCCTGGTGAATAAATATTTTAGATGATCAAATGTTACCTCCACTTTCCTCAAAATGTGACAAAGCAATCCTGTAATATTTGGTCATTCCTGTTAGGAATATAATTCTAACGGTTGGGTTGGCAATATATAAATCATGTAACAATGNCCATCATCTGAATGTGGCTTTTCAAAAATGTATTCCTTACTAAATTACTTTTGTGTTTCCATTTCTTGTCTTATTCCAGCTGTCAGTGTTTTGTGATGTTCTAACTATGCAGCAATCTGGTTATGTGATGCTAATGGACTATCTACAAAATAACTTTAGAGATCAACAGCATAAATTTTCTGGCCAAGTATTTTCATCATACACTGGGCAGGAAGAAATTCATGAAGCAGGTACTTGTTTGTTAGAATTGTGGGCTTAAGCATAATTTTTGCCACAGTGAATTGCTCCTAAGGAAAACAATAGGAGATCCTTATTCAACTGTCCATATGCAGAGAATTTTAAGGCAATTATCTCTTGTGCTAATTAGATGTGGTGAACTAAGCAAGGAGCAAAAAATAAATGGGTAAATAGATTCAACCTTGCCAAAACTTGAAAATATGTCCAGCATGATCAGCTGTCATGCAGTTGAGCTTTTTAAGCTATATCAACATAGTGCTGGGGATGCACACATAAGTACATGCCTTTACATCCGGCCAGTACCTTCTAGATACCTTGGGACTGTTGGCACATCTGGAGAACACCAAATTAGATAAGGCTGCTCATATTACCTTCACCTTGGTTAAGTGAGCTATTACTTGCAACAGAAACAACTCCCGTTCCTAGCAAAAAGTGTGGATGTAAGATAAATACCAACCATTTGTGGTAATGGGATCTTGCAAATGCCACAATTTTGTATTTCACTCCTGAGATCTAAAACAAGTATATAAGCTGTGGTAGTTGATGATACCATCACACACATTTATTGATTCACCCCACAAAATTCCATGATTTGTTGTTTTAGTATAATCCAACCACACTGTGAATGAGCTTAGTTAGCCAAAGGCCAAAAAGCAATTAACACAACTGAGTGAAGGATTTTTTGCCCACTGGATAAATCAAGGGCTCAGAGTATTTACTCAGTCTAACAAAGGAATATGTAACAAAATCAGGCAAATGATCATTAATACATTATCTGTTTGTTTTATTCTAAAAGATGCTCTAAATGAGTCACACATTAAATAAAATTGTGTTATTAAACTTCAGTTTGATAAAATGGGAAAATATCAATTTAAAATTTATTTTATTATGCAGGTTTAACGTTGGAAACCTATATTGAGTAGTGAGTGCCCTCTTGTGTTCAAAAGATAAATTCTAAAATAATGTTAGAGAAAAACACATTAAAAAACTTAAGTGAAATCGATTTAATGAAAATTGATTGGGCAATGGTGACATCTCAATAAATGAGTTAAGGCTTTTTAATCTGAATTTAGGCCAATTTATATTTTAAGGTAGCTGCATTGAACTAGTTTAAATCTAATTAAAGACAGTTTAGCTTTTCTGGCCTGTGGGAAATCATTGATTTTTACCACAATACCACAGAACGTGTTTTCATTGCACCCAAATTATCCAAGCATTCTCAGCAATTCTATACTTAATTAGATGTAGAAGGACCACTGTTGTTTTTTTGAAAACCAAAAACCTTCTCATAGTCTGAGGTGATACGTCATTCAAGTTCTTCCATCTTAAAATGAGAAGAGATTTCCAGATTAAATCTCCAAGCTTAAAAAAANGAATAATCTAGAGTTAGCCTCTTTTGAAATCCAGCACAATATCAGCTGTACAACAGAGCATGGCTTTGGAATCATTTAAAATATTGCTAATGTCCTGTGCCACCAAATAACTTTGATATGTATTCCATTATTAATGGAAAAATAATCATTAACTATATAATTTTGTAATAATAATAAAAATAATTTATAATTTAATTTAATATCCATATATTATATTGACTGAAACCAAGTGATATGTATCTGAGCATATCAGTGCTTTAATTTTCTAAAGTTTCTGGTATACCAGAACTAATTAATCTCCCTTGCATATTCATTTCATGGTTCTATTAACTTTTTTAACTGTATTATATTATAGATGCAAATCTACTGTTATGATTCAAATGAGTTTTCCGATATCGACAAAGCAATTGAAGGAAATGGGAAATTAAGAACTTTATCAGTTTTATTTGAGGTAATAGTTTTTAATGATTAATGATTCTTCAACTTTGAAATGTACTTGTTTCCATTTTGAGGGTAAGAGTTATGGGTATTGTTATAGTTAATTATTTTTACATAATAATTAGCTTTATTTTTAAAAAGGTTTAGGCATTAATGTGTATCTGTGTTAAATATTAAAAGAAGTGTAGCTTTTATAATTTATTAACTGTCAAACTAACAACATCTTGCATGATTTCTTATTGAAAAAAATCCAATTTTTCTTCAACAGGTTGGTCTGGAAGATAATATGGATTATAATTCAATTATTGAAGGAGTGGCCAGCGTTAGTCGGTTTGGTGAGTCTGTGATAAAATATGAGAAATTATATGAATGATCAATTTTAAGCTTCTACGTCTGGTAATATATGAATTTATGGAATCTGGATACATGGCAAAAATTTGTTCAAATCCTATAGTTGAAGATATATGAATGGTAGGGTTTCGCATACCATCCAATAGGCACTTTGCATCTCAATGGAAATTCTTCTGAACATGCTTAGATGACATGCCAAATGTTCAAAAGACCATGGCTCTAATGCTGTGCAACGCATGTCTCCAAATGATTTTAATCAGCCCTGCTCCCCTATTATCACAGCCATAGTATTCAATATCATTTTATGTGAATAAAGATATTGTTTTATTTTAAAAAAAAACTTTACATATCATGACAAAATATGAACCTTCCTTATAAAGGCCAGGGAGCACACTAGTGCAGGATTGAAACTCAATATTTGGGTTGGAATTTATTAGGGACTGGAATCCAACAATCTAACAGTTATGAATTATAGTGATTAAAAACAATAGCAAAATACAACAAAATCAGAAGTTAATGGCAAACCATTTCCATAAGATATGTGAGATCACCTGGAGTCAGGTTCATTTCAAAGGAAATTTTATTTTAGTGCACTTTTGTGGCTCCCTCCAGACCCTAGTCAATATAAGTAAATTAAGCAAAAAAAATGGTCAAAGTGTTTCATTAGCATTTAAGTCAAGAATAATGTAAATTGCACCGAACAAGCTGTAATAGCTTCCTTTATATTTGGTTTAAATATTATGGATTAGAATAATATGTATTAAGAGAGTGGCTTTACCAAATTGTTGAGAGATCTGGGTTTTGAAATAAAACACAGAGCAAATTCAACACATTACTCTCAGTAAGAATTACACATTACCAGGGGCGGGCTTCAAAAATTTCAGCAACAGGTTCTCTGCCTGGTTGCTGGGTGGGCGTAGTCATGGTGGGTGTGGCCTAGTTGGACTTCTGCACCAACGTGGGGGGGGGGCATTTTTACCCTCCCCAGGCTCCAGAGGCTTTTGTTGAGCCTCTGCGAGAATGAAAACTGCATCCCCCGGGCTCTGGAGGCCCTTCTGGAACTTCCGGGAAGCCCATTTTTCCCCCT